CTGCTGCGTGTCTGCTGTGTGTGTGTGTGTGTGTGTGTGTGTGTGTGTGTGTGTGTGCGTGCGTGCGTGCGTGCGTGCGTGCGTGCGTGCGTGCGTGCGTGCGTGCGTGTGGCACGGCCCGTGTGGGCAGGCACAGGCGTTCAGTCAATGTCGCATACAGTGATTTTGTTTGTAAATTTTGCCCGTTTGTGTAAGTCGGCAAAACTGTCGGCAAAACTGATATACATAGAGGTAATCGAGGATCGACACTGGGTATGTACGGAGTTCCCTTGTAACTATCACAGTTGTAAATATGTGTTCATGTAATGTACGTGTGCACATAAGGCCATGATAAAAATATTGTTTGTTTGCCCGCACCCGACCGACCCGCCAAAAAGAGGCCGACTCAAAAAAATTTATTCATCTTTCCCATTCTTTTTTTTTTACAAATTGTATCAATATATTGTATCAATAAATTGTACATTATATCAAGAGCTAATAAAATAGTATTTATTAGCTCTTGATTATATAAATCTGTAGGCAATACATTGTATGTACCAAGCAAAACAAACATTCAACATAAAAGGTATCTCCACACAAGCATACCTGAGCATGTAGACACCATGCTGAATTTGTAACTACGTTACAAGCAAGCACTATACTACGTAGCAAGCAAGTTATTGTTGCAGTACACGTGCAAAGCTATTATTTCTGATATTGGTGTAGGCCTACTTCCTGATATCGCCTGTTCCCTGTTGTGATGTTTTTGTTTTTCTGCTTGGTCACTACGGGTCATATCGGCTCATGACTATTCAAATACACTATGCAGTACAGGGATAGCAGTTCTGTCGTTGCTGTAGACGTACAGATTACATTTAGGTTTATTTTCTAATTTCCTTATATTTTTATCTGATTACATTCGGATGCAGATTTATTGTAGTTATTACAGTCGTTTGACGCTATAGTACGTCAGGCAATAATTCCGCTGGGTAAAATATACAAGCTATTTAAACATTCCCTATGCACACGATGTGTTCAGGGGCTTATTCGCCCTTGAAAAGTTGTTATTTGCCTGTTTATGTTTGCTTGAGGTAAAGTGTATTACGATTATCGGCCGCACTGTGTCATACGCATGGTTTCGACGAACACTTTTACACACGCACGCGGGCACGTCCACATGCACATACACACACGCACGCACGCATGCGTACGCGCATGCAGACGCACACGCACACACACACGCGCACACACACACACACACACACACACACACACACAACAACACACACACACACACACACACACACACACACACACACACACACACACACACACACACACACACACACACACACACACACACACACACACACACACACACGACACACACACACAC